GCCCCCCCCCCCCCCCTATTTTCACCTTGTGATACTGCCAGTAACGCACATACTGTGTTAGGGTGGCTACACTCTATGGAGGAGCAATTGAGCCATCCTTGGAGAGTAGCATTGTCAACTTGGGGATAGGGTAGTGTTAGAAGGTCTAGTAGATAAATATGGACTTGACTAACAAATTAAAGCACTTTTTTTCCTCATGTAACACAAAACAGCACAAACTGGTAGTAAGTCACAGTGCCTCACAGGCATTATACAGTATGTACACATAGTAGTACAATCCAATGTAATATCAGAAGCAGGAGGGGAAAGAAGAAAAACTAAATTTCCTTGCAAGTTCAAGCTATTCAAAGTTCAAACATTACCTCAATGTTGTTTACCTATATGAGAAGCATTAAGTGGTTTAAAAATTGTAGTAAAACACTCATCCACCCCTGTGGTAGAAGGATATTGAAACATGTTCAATCTTACACAAGGTATAACAAAAGAAAAAAGGAAGGGGGAAGAAAAGCCTTGAATGAATGAGAGGAAGAAAAAAAAGTTGCATCATAGAAATAGAGAAGAAAAAAAGACCAGATTTAGACAAGGAGAAGGCAGAGAGATAAAGGGAGAAGGACGGGCAGAGAGGGACATGGACAGGATCAATAAGCCGTGGCATCAAGGCAGCCAGCCAGCCACTGACACAAGAGCAAAATAGACCACTAGGACTGTCACCCCATCTAACCAATGCCTTCCCAACACCTTGGTAGGTCACTTAAAGTAAAACCAGGGCCTCCAAGTATTCCTAAATCTTTCCTCAGTGTTATAGACATCAAGTCCACCATTTTGTATATCTCCTTAGTTTTGGAGAACCAAAACTGTGCAGAGGGGGGCAAGGATTGATGCCACATCACAGGGATACAGGCCCTTGTTGCATTAAGCAGGTGGAAGGACAAAGATGACCTATAGGTAGAAAATTGACTTTTCTTCATCAGCAAAAGATATGTCACGGGATTGTGTCCCAAGCCCACCAAAACCAGTTGCTTAACAATGTCATGTTCCAAAATGGACATAATTTCGGACAGGAACGAAACACATGGGACATGGTCCCCTGGTCATAGCCACACCTCCAGCGACTAGCATTTTGTATATTTACTCAGAGGACCTAGTATAATATAGCAAACAGCAAAGTCCAAAAACAATCAGAAGCTACCTTTTATTACTGTAATTCCACTCCCTTAACAAAAAGTGAAATGTTATAGGTTGCTATGTGATACTGCACAATACGGGTGTCCAACCTGCCTTTTTTAAATTGCCAACATAGTAGTGAGTGCAGGATTGATACAGGTGTTATATGAAAAAGGGGAAGGGGGGGGTGGGGGATAATGGGTGTATTTTACCCTTCCAGAACTTTCTGCTGCTGTGCATGCAAAGCCTCTCGTTGCCATAGTGATATTTCTGACATCACAATATGGCATTTGTATTTGGAGCAAACACAGTAGTGACCTTTGAGATTTTACGGTACCGAAGCATAAGGCATACCCGTGCCATATTGTGATGTTAGAAATATGGCCTCAATAACTTTTATGCATGCACAGTAGTGGCTTGACTATACTGTCTTCTACTACACATGTGTGGAATCTCAAAACAGTAATGACAGCAGTTGTACTGTATTTATATTATTAATATAAACCTGAACTCTGCATTTCAACGTGAAACTACCAGGGAAAACAAAAACACCTTTTCACTTCCTATATTCTTCTTTTATAATAACTATGTCATTTCGTTTTCAGTTTATTTTCAAAACTATTGCAACAGACATCTTTTTAGGTAAGAGCACTCAGAAACAAGCTATAATAGCTTTGCTGATCGATATGCTATGTGTTTTCCAGTTTGGTATATTATTATTCTATTGAGCCGACGTGTGACAGTTTCATTGTCACACGTCTGCTCGAACTATGAGGATGGGTGATTTTCACTCACCTCATAGTTCTCCTTTACATGTTGTCACCAGTTACACCTTGATATTAGGTGACTGCCAGGTTTCCCTTAAGTTTGCCATACATTGTTAGAATTTTGTTTGAACATTCATTTGAAATCCTTCGTTGGAACATTCAATCTTACCTCAACTAATTTTGCTGTAAACCCTTTAAAAATTTTGTTAAAACTTGGAAACCCAGACATTTTTTTACAGGTTTTTTTTGTGCCTAGCACATGCGCATTACAGTATGTCTGATTTTTTTCCAAACAAAAGCTTTAAGCAGCTTTGCAGATCAGTGTGCAGCATGGACTTAGGGGATGTTTTGCAAATAACAATGCACTCTATTGTACAGTTACTTACCGATTTATACAGGCCTGGAATCCATTAAAAACATTATGAATAGAAAGAAGCAGATCCGAACTACAGAGATACAACTATAAAGCCTTCAATTTACCTGTTATAACTAAGCTCAGTTTAAAACTGCTGATATTAGTACAAAATTAGCAGGGCGCACAGCCAGAGTGCATTAGACTTTTACTGCTAGCCTACTTTCCTTTTATTATAGGACTCCATTGTAATTGACCCACATAAATCTGCAAATACCTTGGCTCCTGAATTCCAGTAGTGCTTCATGGATCTCAGTATTCTGTTGAGAAAAATGGAAATGAATTACAATTGCATGCTTTCAGTATTCTGTTAAGATAAATGTTACAATTAAAATGCATATACACAAGAAAACTACATTGTGAGAAGATGCTTTGCTTGTGTGGATGTGCAACATTTCACATAAATTCCACCACATAATTCCAAGACTGAGGACATACTGTGAGTGCAGGGCCCCATGGACATGCCCACGGAGTGGAGGTCCATCCACTGCTGGGAGAAGATACAAAGAGAAAGAGAACCCTGCGAGTCACCTCAGCAGTCTAAAGACCTCTGATAAATAAAGCAGGTGGTTGCCTCCCAGAGGGGAGGGGGAGCACTGAGGCCTGGAAAGATGACCCGCAGTTGGGTTTAGATGGATTTCCACCTTTTTTGGATACATAAAACACTTCACAAGAGGCATGTAAGCAAAATTTGTAACCCACTAATGATTCTATGTTTCACTTTCCTGTCAAATTTCCTGTTACTCCTTACCATCTGACTAGCAGCTTTTAAAAAATGAGCTCTTGGCTTTCTCTTGCGAGCAGTTATGTTGTTCTCGAGCATTATGTGAAAGAACATAACAGTTAAAGGGAGGTTTCAGTAGCAACAAAGGTGCATGCAAAAAATGCCACATTCATGCCAAAGCAGTAATAGGCGAGTACCGCCTGCCAAAAAAAAAAAACCAAAACGGGTGTAAAAGTGTGTGTGGAGCTAAAATGCAAATAACAACAGTAAGTGGGCAAAGCATTATGGCAGAGCAGCAGCCCAGAGATTTGATGCTCAGACCAGAGCTATCTATTGCTGGTCACTTACCCTGGCAGAGCTCTTATGAAAATTCTCCACCAATAAGCAGAACTAGCAATGGATGTCCTTCTCCATCTAAACACCACATGACTATAGGCAGTTTATTAAAGGGTAAGTCCGCTTCCCTAAGTGAATTTGGGAAAATAGAATTACTCCCTCCAATCTGGACTGGGATAGGTAGGAATAGAATTTTGCAGTCATGTAAGTTTACGTACAGTCAGTCAGTCAGTCTAACACTGAAAATCCTGACCGACAGGTGGAAGAGCACAGGAATGACCTAATGATGTGCTACTGTTCCTTCACTGTCCAATAAACAAGCTGTGACACGGTCCTTGACTGAGCTGCCCTCCTTCATTACACTGCAGATCACAGACCTGGCTGTCTTGTCTGGTAAGGATTTTAAATCTGAGAACTGGTAAAAAAGGATAACAACCCCTTGACATGTAAGACAATTCACATATACTGTATGTATTTTACTTGTGCATTTAGCTATTTTCCTGAAGAAAAGGAGGTGTCCATAGGATTTGGAAAGCATTAGGTCAATACATCACAAGAGAAGGGAGGAAATGTGTAAGCCAATGGCGACAAAACAAGAGTGCACTTGATGCGAGTCTGGGGCAGAAAATGAAAGATAATTAAAAGATATTTTCCTAAGAGAAGTCTATGATATAATAAAGATACAAACACTTTACTACAATTTAAGTATTTTATGATGTGTGTACAAACTACTAGTACAGTACCCAGTTGATTAGCATAACAACACTTACAGGAGGAGTTCAGCAATGTAAGCAATAGTATATTTTTGCCATGACGGTTTTCCCTTAACAAATATCCTATTTAATGGTGTTTATACACAATGTCTAGACCAGGGGTGCCCATTAGGTCGATCGCAATCTACCAGTCGATCGCAGAGCAAACACTGGTAGATCGCGATCAGCTCACTGACCAGAGCTCCCTCCCACGGTGCTAGTGCGGCTGAATGTGTCAGATGCTCAGACGGGAAAGGGGCGGGACACCTCTCCCCGTCTTCAGCCTCAGCCACACTGTCACCAGTGCGGGGCAGGACACCCCTCCCAGTCTGTAGCGTCGGCCACACAAGCACCACAGGAGGACAGGACAGGGCACATGAGAGGAGACCTGGGTAGCGGCTGCAGTGCAGGTAAGGAAAGACAGCCAGGAGAGAAAAGAGACAGAGGAGAGAGAGAGAGAAGAGACAGCAGAGAGAGAGAAGAGACAGCAAAGAGAGAGAAGAGACAGCAGAGAGAGAGAAGAGAAAGCAGAGAGAGAGAAGAGAAAGCAGAGAGAGAGAAGAGAAAGCAGAGAGAGAGAGAGAAGAGACAGCAGAGAGAGAAGAGACAGCAGAGAGAGAGAACGATGAGAGAAAGAGCGTGAGGAGAGAGCGAGAGAAGAGACAGCCGAGAGCCTGAGAGAGAGCGCAATAGATTGCGAGGAGAGAGCTTGTGCGCGAGAGGCAGTAGTCCCATCAGTAGTAACGCTTTGTTTTTTAAAATAAAGGTGTTTTTTCATTGGTAGATCTCATTGGGCTTGTCATTTAAAAGTAGATCACAAGACCAAAAAATTGTAGGCACCACTGGTTTAGACCCTGATTTCTTAGGAAGAGGTGACAATGGCATTGAAATGATATCTCACCGGGCTGTCTTGCTTCTGCCGTAGCTGTAACGTCAGGTCACTTAACATTTGACTGAGTGTAGCTCTCACAGCTGTGTTTATACTTCGCTGGTGACAGCTTGAAACATAGGTTTCAATGCATAGCTGGGTAGAAGACAGAAAAACATTAGCTAAACCATCATCAAAAAATAATAAGTCATTAAATGAAAAACCCAAGTGTGACCCTTGTCTATACCACCTTTAATTGCCTTGAGGAACAGCATGCAAGTACACTGATATGATTGAGTTCACATCTGATAACTGCAACGACTAGGGTCACATGGACTCAGGGCAGAACCACGTTGTGATGTGTTACAGCAATGCTCCTTAATGAACGTTATGTGTGTTAGTGTGCTGTATGGCATTAACTTTAAATGGCACCACAACAGATGAGGAAACACAGCTACGAAACACATGCATTGCAGCGCATCACAATGCATGGTAAAACACTACTGCACTCTAAGGTGCACTACCTTAGGGAAAAAAAATCTGCATGTACATTTTTTGACCATTCTGGTGCATTGGCAGCCCAATTATTTGTGCATATTGGTTAAAATCATAAAAAGACTCAAATTAGCAGTTATGTCCGCTCACTCCTTCAGCACTGTTCAGGTTGCCCTCACAACCTCTCCCCTTTTGAAGCACGCTGTAAATCGGACCCCCACTCTGCAGGTCTCATTTCTCTATTGTATGCTGTGTTGGTGCCCTCTGTAGTGGAGACCAAGGTTCCCTATATGCTAGCCTGGGACTTTGAATTTTTCAGAGGTTTAACAGCGAATCATGGGAATCATGGTACATGAGAAGCTCACGGCTATCTTGAATGATTTCTATTCCTCTTTTCAGAAAACTTGGTCTCCTTGGTTGGACTATGTCCGTCCGCTGGACTTGGATCGTGCCCTACTCTGTCTTTGATTGCAGATCGCTTGTTGGGTGTGCTGTAATCCCTTCTGATCTCCATGCAGCCTCTTATTCTGTTTTTTTCTCTGCCTGTCCTTTTTCCTTTCTTCTTTACTCTCTCATTCTTCTTCACTGCAGTTTTCCTTAGTAGTTACAGTCCGCACCATGGGGCATTTGTAGTACACATAGCCATTAGCCTTTTTCAATGTGCCCGCTTTAAGGTGCCCATACACTGCACGATTATAGTACGATAATCGTATGCGATCGGTTTTTCGTACGATAATCGAGCAGTGTGAACGGAGACGTGCGACCATTTCTACTGTACGGTCGGACGTCTTCTGTCGAACCAGCATGTTCGAAAACCAGCCGGGAATCGTACGATTCTCGGCTGGTTAGAACGGTGCTCGGAAGACAAATGCCGAACGGGCCGGTGTGCGCACGCGCACACTGCCCGTTCAGCATTGCGGTCATCGGAAGCCCGCCCCTCAGGGGGGCGGGCTTGCGATGATCGAGAGTGCGATCTGCCTGTCCAAGATAGGCAGATCGTGCGATGGTTGTAGAGTGTATGGCCACCTTTAGACTCATGACGGTTGTGGGATGTTGGTATTAGCAGTTATGTTTACTCTGGCTGACTGTTTATTTCTGTTTCTGTTAACCAATCTCATTTGATTTCACTGACGTATACATTTTATGCTCACTTCTGACTATGTTTGAGTAGAACCTCTAGGTCTTTCGATATTACTGTTTCTTTCTCAATAAACATCTTTGTAGAACAAAATGGAAATTAAAAAAAAAAATCATAAAAAGACTTCTTTGCTGAATGTAGATGATAATAACATTCAGAATAGCCCTCTATAGTAATTATTCTCATTTCAATTGGCTTCAAATCTTTTTTGCAAACATCAATATGATTAGTCATTCCATAAATGTTGCTTTTACATTATCACAATATTCTAAGCCATGTTAGGACCAGGAAAACTAGAAGCTTTCCTATGTATATTAAACTTACCAGGGGGGATATCATTTAGGGTGCTAAAACTTATCTGCCTACAGTCTCCTGATACAAAATCAAATCCGGCCCTGCATGCAGATGCTGTGTTGGAATGCAATACAAGGGGAAAATGCTGCTGCCAGACTCCAGGTAGGGTCTAATTACTGCAGTTAGTTTAAGCATTTAAATTTGACTTTGAATCAGCCTCTTTCAATCCACTGGTTGGGGGGGGAATTAGGTGCTCGGCAGTGAACATGTGCTCTAAGTGACCATGCTAATAGAAGCGAGGGATAAGTTAAAGCCACATCCTGGGCAAAATTATAATTTACACACTGCACTGGGTGTGTAAATTATTATTAAAAGGCTGCATGTTATGTGAGGAGGGTGGTTACAAAGTATGAAAATCTACCTTGCAGCACATCATCTCCTGCACAGCGTCCAGCTTCCAAACACTGAGGAGAGATGTTACCTGAGCTGTTCTCCAGTCACATCACCCGCCCCCTCTATCCTCTATCCTGCATTCACAAAATGTCTTGCATTTTTTAAAACAATACAAGATATTTTGTGATTGTAGGAGGAGGAGGGGGCAGGGATGTGGCCATCTCTCCTCCTCCAATCATGGAATGTCTTGTATTCATTTTGTGAAGAGAGGATAGTGAGGAGGGGTGGGCGATGCAACCATAGTGCTGTACAGCTCAGGTCACATCTCTCCGTTACTTCAGTGCCTGGAAGCTGGGCTTTATGTGCAAAATCTTACCTTGCAGTACGCAAGGTGTGTAAATTATCATATTGAGTGTATGTCTTTTGAATTTCCTTCCAATCACCAGTTGGGACATGGAGGTGACCAAGCTGTATTGTTTAACTGCAGGACAAGAAAACCAGGTCACCAAGCTGGCTTCATTTTCTATGAATCTTCAGAGTAGGCTCACAGAACTGCAAAATATTTTGTATAACATCTCCGAAATGTTATTTTCTAATGTGTAATTGAGCTGTTGAGTTTTAACATTTTGGTAAGATATAGTATTAAAGGCATAGGTTAGTTGATTCAATTATTTGATAAATAAGGTCTAATAATTTAACCATTAATTTTAATTAGGTCATGGTAAGTAGCTCCCATGGTAATGGCAGATGTTTCAAAGTGATGGAAGACAGATTCGTTATAGTGCTCAGATTGTTTCACCTGACATATTTGAAATAGGAAAATAAAGCTAGTCATACAAGACTAGTTTTCTTTCATTAAGCATACAGGATGAAGCAGAGAAAATCCATTGATTCCCCCATTCATGCTAGCTATTGTATTCAGCAGCCATGCCACCTGCTGCTGCTTGAATACAGTTGTGCTGCCGAGCAGTGAATGTATATCATAGGACACAGCCAGTGTTTAGCCCAGGGGTGGGCCACTCAGGTTCTAAAGCTGTGCTTTAACGCCAAATCCCAGCATGTATCTGCCTTAAATGTCATGCCTGTAACTGCCAGTCTTGCAGTGCCTCATGGGGTTTGCAGGCCCACAACAGCTGGAGGGCCAGAGTTGCTCACCCCTGTTTCAGCCAGTAATTTTCCAACTGGCTCAGTTGATTTTTAAATCAACTTTTGTCAAGTCGGGTGGTTAACTTAAACGTGCAACTGAAGCCAAAACTTTTTTTTTAATATTGGATAGAGTGGAGAGCGATTAGAACACTTGTCGGGTTTTTATTGCCGTTTGTGTGCCTGTTAGGCTGGGTTCACACCTGAGCGTTTTTTTGATGCTCGTTTTTTTCGCGTTTTTTCGTTCAGTGAAACACGTGTTTCACTGGCGGTATGATTTTTTCCCCCTTTATTTTCTCTATTTCAAAAAAAAAATGTAGTTTCACTTTTAAACTTCCCGCCTGCTCCGCCCCCCTGCGAAGCGGCCACTCGCATGGGACGGAACCCGGAAGTCGGCAGGTAAGACGCTGTATTCCCGAGTGTGGCTCGGGGTTAGCGCTTTGTTAACCCCGATCCACACTCGGGAATACCAATGGCAACGCGCGGCAAAACGCTCCAAAGAAGCTCCTGTACTTCTTTGAGCATAGGGCGTTTTGCAGCGCGTTCCTACGCCCAGGTGGGAACCATGCTTATAGGCAATCATTGGTTTTCACATGTTGAGCGTTTTACAGCGTGTAGGAACGTGCTGTAAAACGCACAGGTGTGAACCAGACCTTAGGGAGATTCACCATCTCTACTGTATTTGTCCTGGAGACCATTATCACTGAAAGCGAAAGAAAATCTCAAATTTTGGATGGTCATCAGAACAGGAAAGATGGGAAATCTTCTAATGGGAACACTGGTTCTGGTGACTCTGCTGACCACCAGGGATTTCCTACTCTATTTAGAAGGATTTGCTCTCACTTTCTGTTGGGGCTATCAGACTGGAAGTACCTCCATGGAATACAGGGAAAATAAAGAAGTGTTATAACCCTAACTTGCTCTATTCAAAAAAAAAAAAAAAAGTTTTGGATTCATATCCATTTTAAGCGTTTTGAGTCAGGCAACAAGGAAATGTCCTAAATGGGTAGTCACTGTAAGCAAAATCTAGTTTGTCTTCTGTGTACCAGTAAACAGAAACATTTGAAGGTGGGTGTAACATTTGACATAAAACAAAAGTAATGAATATAACATATGAAACAAGTAACTGAGAAATTTTCAAAATGTAAGCACAAAGCTTACAAAAATGTGTGTTCATTTAGAATAGTACCTCAATGCACACAAACAATAGTAATACACTTGTGCTGCGTTTAAAAAAAAAAAGGGTTATTTATGTTTTTTCGGCTGCCATAATGTAACAAACTAACACAATGCACACAACAGCCCACAAAGATGTAAAAGTGGAAAGCAGTGGGTCTATGAGGCAGATCATATGCTTGACTGACAGCGCACACCACTCTGAATGGCTTGGAAGGGAGGACATATAATAGGAAGTGAAGTCACAGGGCACATGACACATTGTGGTGTAGCCCAGCCCCTGTCATTGCTGGGCTGTTTGGAAGGTGGTCAAGAGAACTAGGAAGTAAACAGTGTATGGTAAGTAATACTAAAGGGGAGTATGCCCACTGTGGCGGCAACATTGCAGAGGCTCTGTGAGGAGGAAGTCTTAATGAACGGCAGGATCAACTGGTAATTTCTTTTACAGGACAGCTTAATGTTAGGATTATGTAAAAAGAAACCATAATGCATTTCAAACCATGATACCTCTAGGAAAGCAGTGGGCTGCAGAGGACCAGGGAAAATACGATGACATAGAACAAACAGCGTATGTGCAATGGAAGCGCTTATCATTTCATGTAACTGGGGGGATCCAGTTTTATGGCATGCCAAACACAACTACAGATGAAAGAGTAAAAACATAAGGGGTAAAAGCATAGCACAACAGGCAACATAGAGACGGGATGTACTAATGTAGTTTCAAGTGAACTTATACAAAGATTTGACAATATATGACTGGCCATCTAGATAAGATTTTACTAAGCAGCAATTTTGTTAATGATATGTAATACAGAAAACCTATACAGCATAATATGGCCACATATATATACTTAAACCTTTTTAATACATCCCGCAGAAACATGTCATTCTATTATAGGAGGCAAATATTAATTGTATAAAAACAACATTTCTAGATAATAGAATATGCACAAAGACACTATTTATATGTACATTTTATTAATACTTTGTGCACTAAAGGCTCATTCACACCTGCCTGTATGATAAAACATGCGCAGCCAGGTTGTAGGGACAATAAGGGGCAGTGTAATGCATTGTTACAGCACATCACACTGCTTAATTCTTTTTCTTTTTACTTCACTGGAAGTAGCACAAAATGTAATTCAATTTAATTCAACTCTATGCACTACATAGACACTGCAGTGAGCTACCCTCCGTCCTTGTGTAAAAGTGCAGCATGTCTACATTCTTACACAAAGCACCACAACACACCTCAATGCAGTGTTAAATGGGCATATACAAAACAACTGTTTGTTTTTTTGCCCGTGCATTGAGCATGCATTGATCTATGCAAATCAATGCAGCTCAACAGGCATAGCATGAACACGTGAATCCAATTCACGCTTAGAAGAGAAAAATAATGTTTTTTGGTAAATTTTAACATTTTATGAATGTTTATTAACTGGTCTTTTATATTATTAATTGTATAAAAGTCCCTTTTTTTAACAAATTACCATTTCATACTTCCATGATACAGAGCATACAGGGATAACTAGAACTAAAAAACAGAGGGACCCCTATAAGCAGGGAAATAGAGCAATGTGCTCTCTTTCCCTATTCCCTCTTTCCCTAGAGCTTTATACAACAATGAAAAAATACAAAAACACTATGCATTTTCTTTAATTTAATTGAATATGGCTTATCAGACCTTATATTACAAAAAGGTAGTATTTTGTAAATGCCATAACAAGTTTTGCTGATGTAAAATTGGAAACTGTTCTAATAATCCATTAAAAAAGAACTATGGGGTAACCTTTTTAGCCCATAATTCTCTTTGGGGTCAAGGGAGGACATACTGTATTCTAACCTCCTCCCATGACCCAAAGCTCAGTATATAGCGAGCTATAGCTTGCTATATACTGAGAGCGCCGCAGCCGTGACAGATCCCGACAACACTGTTGAGATCCACCCAGCTAGCTGATTGACAGCGGGCTCTGCCTATCTAAAGGCAGAGCCAGCGGAGCCCGCCCTCTCCCCCATCCATTCCTCCAGTCAGTGCTGGAGGATCAGAGAGGAGAGGGGGGAAATCCCTGTGGGGAGTGGTGACTGACAGTCACCCCTCACTGCAGGGGGACGATCGGGAAGTGAGGGAGCAACGGTATGTGTTTGCCCACTTCCCGATCTATAGAGCCAATGTGTGACAACTTCTTCATCACAGGTCGGCTCTAACTATGAGGATGAGTGGAAATCACTCACCTCATAGTTCTCCTATAACTGAGAAAGTATGTTGCAGCATCTACAAAATGTTGTTTTGTGCCTCAGGTTAAAGAGTGAGAGCTCTTTGTTATAAGCATCTTCTCCTTAAATCTGCAAGGGTTTTTTTTTCCATATTTTTACCTAAACCTAATACTCACGTATTAAAAGCAGCTTTTATTTAAAATAATATGTGCTGGTGACGTTATACTTTTATAAAATAATTCTTATTTGCATGGCCTCATATAGTAGAATTGATCAGCAATACATACAGATGAATGCTGGGTTAATTGGAAGATGAATAAAGCAGAACTCCAGACAAAACATTTTTTGATGGATAGCATGAGCAAGGCTTAGATCTTCCAGCCAGTGTTTACTAATGTTTGTGTCCTCAATGAGGAGATACGTCTTGCGTTGATGATTGACTTCAGTGGGAAAATTTAACTTCCTCTCCTGAAGACACAGACAGCAAACAAAAACTAATAAAACCTGATAGAAGTTCTAAATCTTACCCATTCTGCAATAAATAAATATATTTAACTACCCGGGATTAGATCCAGAGGAAGTTTTAGGGCCTGTTCACACGACGTCCGTTTTGTGTGCTGACCGGCTCCGTACGCTGCAGCACTCAAAATGCATCCCAATGTATCCCTATGTGTTTTATGGGCTCCAGTTCTCACGTGCGCAGTCCGTTCAGCTTACGACAGAAAAAATACTGCATGTCACATTTTGGCCGGTCCGGAAACGCACAAACACGCACGAAACGAAAACGCAATGGAAACGCAATGCAGCTAAGGGGGAAAAAAAGAAAAAATTGTATTCTTGCTCCACTTATTATGATGTCATCTTCGTTGATAAAAAATTAACTGTCAGCATTCGGACCGAAAACGCATCAAAAACGCACTGCATCAGCAGCTCCACATCTGCTGATCAGCACCTGATCAGGAGATGATCTCATGTGAACAGGCCCTAAGGCCCTAATTTTCCCACTGAAAGGATATATCAGGGGAGATTGTTCCTCAAGCCTTGTGTACTAGATCCCCACTAAAACGCAGGAGGATGCATTGGGGACATTATATTTTCATTCAAGTATCTAGAGAGGTCTCTCTGGTACCTCCTCATCCACCCCTAGGGTAAGTTGGGGACGCACAAAAACCTACTGGAAGAAAGTTCTGGTATTTCTCTATAATTATAGATCTCTCCTGAAGAAGTGGTCACTACCGTGAAACACGTTAAGCTACCTTCTCTAATAATAAACCTAGTCAACCACATTTTAATGATGGAATACATCTATGCTATACTCAAAGGACATTAATGATATGTGGCGCCTATTTGGAAATTTGCAACGATGATGAATGTGTAAAAAGGAAAATTATGAGAAGTTGGGGCTGCAATTATATTTGTTGTGTTCAAAGAATGTATACCTGTTTTTATTTGGTTGGTATACCAAATATTTGACTGAAATGAAAAAAAGTAGAACTGTCGTTTTATATTGGTTTCATGGTACCATCAAAATCCACCTACAAAAGTGTTTTTTGGTTTTGTTTTTTTTTAAATAAGTAGTTTTTTTTTGCTGGCCAAAAAGATGACAATAAAAAAAACTGTCAAAGGCTTTCACATTTCCATACTCTATCCCCCCAAAAAAAGAAGTTTTATCAGAAGTTCCACTTTCGAAATTCATATCAAAGCATTATTAGTGCAGATGAAGGAACAAACCGGAGATACTTGCATGCCAACTAAAATGACATGCTACTACCTAAAACATACCTCGGCAATCTTCAGGACTGAGCTCCCATTCAGCTCAAAAGTTGATGTATATGTTATACAAAGAAGGACCTGTAAAGTTAGCAGAACAAACGATAAAAACATTTAAACATTTTGCTGAAAAAATAATCATCCTTGGGCTTTCAGACAACCCAATTTTAAACGAAACTACATAAATCATTGCGAGGGAAATTTATCAAAACTAGAGCAAAAACAATCTGGAGCAGCTGTGCATGGCAACCAATCAGCTTCTCTCTTTCATTTTCAAAATCTTAAAAGAGAATTATGAGGCACGTGATTTTCACTCAGCCTCATAATCTGAGCTGACCTGTGACAATGAAACTGTCACAGTGGATCGGGAAGTGAGCGAACACAGTCGCTCGCTCACTTCTCGATCTATCCCTGCAGAGAGCCGTGACTGTCACTCACGGCTCCCTGTAGGGATTCCCCCCCCTCCCCTGTCCGATCCTGCAGAGCTGACTGGCACAACGGACGGGGGAGGGGTCGGGCGCAGCTGGCTCTGCCTCTCGATAGGCAGAGCCAGCTGTCACTCACGCAGCTGGGTGGATCCAGACAGTATTGTCGGGATCCGTCCCGGCTGCGGTGTCTCAGTATACCGCGAGCTTTAGCTCGCGGTATACTGAGCTTTGGGTCATGGGAGAACGCTAGTTTGTGTTCTCCCATGGCCCTTAGGAGAACTATGGGAAAAGCACTGACCCCATAGTTCTCCTTTAAATTAACAAACTGAAGAGAGAAGCTGATTGGTTGCCACAGGCAACTGCTCCAGATTTTGACTGCTCCAGTTTTGATAAATTCTCCTCTGCGTGTCTTACAGTTAAAATGTAGCAAAATGTGACATTCCGCTCTCAAGCCATGGGCATTAATATGGAGCTGCCCCCCTTCTGAGAAATCTTTCCACAAGATTTTAAATGGTATCAGTGGTAATTGTGCTCATTTTGCCAAAAAAAAGACATTTGTGAGCGGAGGTGCTGACCAGAGGACCTGCTTCGCAATCAGTATTTCAATTCAATCCAAAAGGTGTTCAGGTGGATTGAAGTCAGTGCTTTATGCAGACCACTCCACTCAAGTGTCTCCACACTAAACTCTTCAAAACATATCTTTATGGACCTGACTTTGAACACAGGAGTACAGGCATGCTGGATTAAAAAAAGTGCCTTCCCCAAACTGTTGATACAAGGTTGAAGGGTACAATTTTTATAAATCAATGGGTACATTGGTCTAAAATGTCTTTGTATGCTGCAACATTAAACAATACTTTTTATTGGAACCACCTGAACCTAATAATTTTGAAGGGTGGTCATATACCTTTGGGCATATAGTGTATGAGGAAAACGGTTGAGTCTTAGGTCTCGTTCACACCTAGGCGTATTGCATATGCGCGTCTGTCGCGCGTTTTTTTACCGCGATTTGCGGTAAAAAAGTTGTGCGACAAACGCGTGTTTCCGAAGGCTACTTGGCTGTATCCCAATGGAAACGCGCAACAAAACGGCCCAAAGTAGTACTTGTACCTTTTCAGGCGTGGGCCGTTTTGTAGCGCGTTAGGGACGGGCGGAAATACGCCAAGGTGGGAACGAGACCATTAAATACAATGGGATTTATATTTTTGAGCGTTTTTTAGAGCGTTCTTCGAGCGTAGAACGCGCTACAAAACGTTCATGTGTGAACGAGGGCTAAAAGTGACACTAAACTCAGGAGTTAAACCTTAAAAATGCATTCAAGTGCCTTAACTATTAACAAAAATGTATCCTGTTTTTATGCATCACTCCTGTAGATCCTGAAATCATCTCTGAATTGGTGCTGACACTGTCCTTCCTTCTGGAGTGTGGCTGCTTTTGTTCCCCATGTGTCCCTGTGTGTGTTGTAACGTAGACACTGATCCAAGTCCCATGATGGACTACAATCTCATGTTTAATTTACTAATCTGAATTGAGATTGCAGTCCATCAGAGGAGTGAGCTTGGAGCGGTGGCTACTTTTGCAACACATAGGGACAATGGGGAACAGTAGCCACCCTACAGAAGGAAGCACAGTGTCAGCACTAGGGTTGCCACCCGTACGGAAATGACCCGGACAGTCCGGTTTTGGAATCCTGTGCCCGGGTACACTCCTTTGGCAGACCCGGGCACAGGATTCAAGCCGCAGACTTGCTCACCTGACATCTGGCTGTGAGTGGCGGAAAAACATCTTCGGTTTCGGTCTGACATTTTTTTTTATTTCGGTTTCGTTTTTGAAATCTTCATTTCGGTGCACCTCTTGTATCGGTGCATCCCTAATTTACACTAACATGGAATCGTGGTGCTGGTGACATCTGTATTGGAGTTCTGTTGTGAGCGGCGCCATCCGCAGTCATTACGAGCACCCGTTACTTTTGGGATATCGGGTAATGGGTGCGGCAAAGTATATGGATATTGCTTTATATAGTATATATCTGGGGACCTGTGGCACACTGGCAAGTTGTGATTAACTCCAAATACATGCGTCGTGTATACTTTACAAAAAAATTGCCGCGAGGTGCTACAGTGTTCAGGTTTGGCTTGAAGAAAAGGTGGCAACCCTAGTCAGCACCAATTCAGAGATGATCTGAGGATCTATAGCCGAGTGATACACAGGATATAGTTTTAGATATAGCTCCCCAATCCCCATTCCCATAAAAAAAACCTACAGTATTTTTTTTTTTAAATTAGATTTACATGTGAAGAATATCAACTAAATATAAATGATCTTATGTGTGGTTCCTGGTTTCTTCCCTACGCTGTTAACATGCTAATGAGCTTTGCAAATAAAACCGGTTTAAAAAAAAAAAAATTATATTAGACCCAATGACATCATCATTGGGTCTCTGTTCTTCTCTATCCAATTCAGGCAGATCACAGCTGGTGGGAGGGGCCAGCAGGTTGCTGTCCATAGCTTCCTGAAAACATCACAGGACTTTGCCTCCTCTCATACCTGATGCAAGCAGTGGGTTGGCTCTTGGGTGGAGTTATGCAAATAACAAAAAGCCTTGATGGGTGGATGTCAGTGTGGAAGAGTGGGAGTTTCTAGGATAACAGCATTTGCATACAGATCGTTCTAGAGAATGCCCACATGTGATGCTGAGCCTCCATGATTAAAATAACTGAAATCCAGGGGCCAGGGACTGTTAAGGTGCCCATATACCTTACAAATATCGGGCTATTTTAGTTTGCGATCACGTTTTCGTCCGATATTCGTAAGGTTGATGGGCAGTGTACAACTGCAAATACTGTACAATACTGGTTAGAAAACTGTCTGTCGAATCATATGATTTTCACAAGGTTGGTGGCGTTTCCGTCTGTCAAAAATCGTACGCTTAACACGGCTCATGTGTAAACAGAAATCCGTGCTGTCAATTAACGAAATTCGTCCAGGGGTTTTTTGTTTAAGACCGCTAATTGAACTGTGCGATGGTCGGTGCATGATGGGGCCACCGCACGAAAATCGTACTACAGTCCGATCGGACGAAAATTTTCGTCTGATGATAGCAAGGTGTATGGGCATCTTTAGACTGAGGATATAATGGCTAAATTCCCTTCAACCAGGAAAGGAGGTAGGCCCCTATCTAAACTGCTGCAGCTGCCAATGCACATTGTGAGAAACTCACAGTGAGCACAGGTTACACAGACATGCTTTGCTGTTGTCACCATAAGGAAGTTAGCAGGAAGTTAGCAGATGATGCAGCAAAAGTGAAAACAAATATTTATTTAAAGAAGACAATGGTTTTTAATACACACAAAAAAATAACTAAATGCCATTCCGGTAAGGTCTAATACTCCTGGCTATGAATGCTTGCATGATTTGTGGATAACATTCTCCATATAGTAGTAAATTGCAGCTAAGTGGTATTCAGACGGTGTCCAGCTAACTTTTTGTCAAGTTATTCTTTTGCTACAAAAGTAAGCCGAATTCTGTCTATGAAATACATCTGCTAGCTGAACATCAAGACAGCAGAGGTCTAGCACAACAGCTGAAGATGAACCGACAGGTTATTCTGGTTTCTGTGTATACTTTAACTGTTGACTTTCCAAGAGGAGATATTTATTTACTCTCCATGATCTTATCAGAAAGGTATACAGTACTTTCCAGTCCCTTCAGTTCACATTCTCTTCAGTTTACGGTCCCTTCAGTTCACTTACGCTCCGGGCAAATATAGAAACGAAAAAAGAAGAAGAAAAAAAAGGAGGAAGAAGAAGCGTCACAACCAAGCACGAGTCGTTTGTGGATGGGTTGAGGCATGGAGTGCAGATGATCTTGTACTCACGTGTGGGAGGGAATGGATATAGTCCCGTATGGTGACCTCATTGGAGTTGTGTTGAGGTTTGATTGTGGTGACTGTTACACCTCCCGTTTAATGATGGGAGCCAAAGTAGAGGGTGATAATGATGGTACAGGTAAAAAATGAGGAATGATACAGTCACATGTGTGATATGTAGAGACTCACTGGTGGGAATTTATCAAACTTGGAGCAGACAGAATCTGGAGCAGTTGCCCATGGCAACCAATCAGCATTTCTCTCAGTTTGCTAAGGTAAGATTTGAAAATGAGACAGAGAAGCTGATTGGTTGCCGCGCAAATCTGCTCCAGATTTTGCATGCTCTAATTTTGATAAATTCCACTGACTGAGTCACCGTAATCAAAACTCAACACCACCACTCCAACGAGGTCACCCCCGACACGTGAGTACAAGATCCTCTGCACTCCGTGCCTCAACCCATTCACAAACAACTTGCGCTTGGTTGTGACTCTTCCCTTTTTTTTGTTTCTTTGTTACAGTCGTCAGACATCCCGGTCCGTACACATTAGAAGCAGCACACCAACAAATGCCACACCAGTACCCCCTGGAGAGCGCTGTAACTCTGGACTTTCCGTCAAATTTTTTTCCAGGCAAATATAAAACCTTCCATTTAGTCCATAAGTTTGTATATTCAATTTAGTTATGCTTTACAACAGAAGAAAGCATTGCTAGGTTTCATGCTCATGTTAACCACTCGCTGTCTGGAGCAATTTATTACTATTTGCACACACGATAAAATCTGATTTTTTTTGCTAGAAAACAGCTAATGGTTTCTCAAACCAGCATTTTTGGGATAAAATAGACCAAAATTAAATTTAGTGCACAAAAACAGAATATAATACCCATATTTTTGGTAAAATATGAAAGATGGGGTTACGTCAGTTAAATAGACACCAAACATGTCAAAGTGATTTTGGAGGGCTGTACAGCCGTTCAAAACCACTTGTACGAAACGGCTCCCACACTACATTTAGCCGTGCTGCTTGCCGGCAGCCGGGCTAAATGTAGAAAAAAACTACTCGCCCGACGCCCGAAACTGCCTGTCCTGGGCGTCGGGCAATAGGAATTCCACACCTGTGCTGGGAAACCACAAAAAAACAACAATACCAAAAATTTCCCATAGGCGCCGCTTTAACCACTTGCCGTCCGCCCGTAGTAAAAAAACGGACGGACGGCACTGCAGCATTGGCAATTTTTTTCTGCTCGCGCGCGCCCTATTGCGGGCACGCGCGGGCAGAAAAGACCCGACCATTGCACACACCCGTTACCGGGTGTTTCACATATAGGCGATTAGCGGCTCCATAGCCCGCCGATCGTCTATATGTGCTCGTTCGCGTCCGCCCCTGACCCCTCATACTGGTCATCAGTTTAGTGTTAACAGTGACTGATGGCCCTAGAATTGTTGCTCTCATTCTGATGTTTGAGGCGATATGTAACACGTGTGACACAATTTCTGTTTTTGCACGTAGGCGCACCCGACGCGCGTTTGTGTTGTATGTACTTGCACGTGCGGGGGGCACTTTTCCAAAAATGTTTTTTTTTTACACGCAACTTTATTGCCATCATATAGGGGGCTAACAAGCCCTAATACAAAAAATCAAGCATCCTCCAGAAACCAGATCACTCTTAATTAACCCCTTAGAGTGTAAATGCCTACCCGCATGGTCCGTAACCATGAAGAAGCTACAAAACAATATTGTTAGCAAACTCAAAGATTGACCAACCAACAAAGTTACTAAAAGGACTGGGACAGGCACGTAATTAATAAAATAGAAAAAAAGTTTATTCAAACAGTATTAATAAAATTCACCATCATTATGCAACTTGCCATAATACATTTTAAAACTTTGTCCACAAAATCATAAAAAAAATTTAAAAAAATGTCCCCATAGGAATGCATTGCTAGATTCCTATTGGCTATTTCAATTTGCAATAGCCAATAGCAAACTAGCTATTGCACCCGCCCACTGCTGCTGTCAATCATGAAAAATTGAGAGTTTTACCCCTTGTATGGCGCTTATCAGAGGTACGGGGAAATAGCGGAGGGGGGAGGCAGTACTTGATGGGTACACCAGTTAATGCTTGTAGTATGGTAGGTATAGGTACGGGGGGCGGGGGAACAGGGTGGTGGCGTAGGTGTGCGGCTTCCGTTCTGTCTGGACCGGGGTGTCCAACACGTGTACTATAGGGAAACAAAAATTGGAGACGGAAGCGCCACTACCTAGCGCAATAAATGTGGTAGAGTGGGGTGTAAGCGTAAGTGTTGTACTCACCTGAGTCTGGGTGAGTATTCGCTTGTAGTCGTCGGGTTGCAGTGGAGCGGATGGGGTGGAAGTGGTCCCTCTTTTTCAGGGTGGCGTGGCGTTTCAACCCAGTAGGCAGATGGGGATACAAACGCAAGGGGGTGAGGTATGCAATGGTGGGTGAAGAAGGGGTGGGCTTCTGTGACTCACCGTGGGGATAGTGGAGGGCGGCTTTCAGCGATGCCGGTGCGGCCCGTGTGGTGCCGCGGCGGTGGACCCTGGGGTGATCCTCAGTAGTGCTGGCACAGGAGTCCTCTAGTGGTAGGTGCTGTGGACCGGTAGAGCGACGTGTTGTCCTGGATGGGGGAGCTGGAGAGCGGTTGGCGGTGGCGGACTGTTCAGCTGCAGTGGAGAAGGATTCACGCTGGGGCTTTCGGGCAGCCCGACGAAGCTGTGACCTGCAGGCGTTTGCTGGAGAAGCCTGAAGTGTGGATGTTGCGGCGTGAGCCGTGAAGAGCGGGTCAAGGGAAGAAGTTACGGGGGTTGAAGTTCTGGGTTGAAACGCCACGCCACCCTGAAAAAGAGGGACCACTTCCACCCCATCCGCTCCACTGCAACCCGACGACTACAAGCGAATACTCACCCAGACTCAGGTGAGTACGTGTTGTACGCTTACACCCCACTCTACCACATTTATTGCGCTAGGTAGTGGCGCTTCCGTCTCCAATTTTTGTTTCCGTGCTGCTGTCAATCAGCAGAGGGTACCTGCAGTTCTCCATCAGGACCCCTCTCGTGCTTGACAGCCGCA